AAGCCGTGTGTGGAAAATTGGCAAAGTAACTAAAATAGAATAAATTAAGATGCTTCCACTGTAGGCTAAAGAAGAGATGAAGCCAATGTCATAAGCACTTTGCTAAGAAAAATGGCACCTTTATGCTATAAGTTAGACAGGCATGAAGTTAACTCCTTAGAAAGTCAAGGTTGAAAGTCCTGCTATTTCTGTGAACAAGATGAAAAATTTTCCATGAAAAATAAGTGGGCTCTTTATAACAACCAGTCAGCAAATTTAAGTGTGAAAAGGAAATATTTCTAGTAAATTCTCTTCATGTTCCGTGAGCCCATTCCTTGAACCCAAGTGTCTTGCCAGGCTTTAAACAATTTAGCATAGGGTTTTAATGAACTGCCTCCATAGGAGTAGAAATAACATGATCAGCTCTGAGTGTCATGGTTAGTAACTTTGTCGCTCTATCTCAAGCAGCAGAATATTTTGGGTCAACCATGGTAGTTTGAAGTTTCTGCTATGGGCAGAAGATCTTGGTTCAGGTAACCCAGTGCTTGGCTTTCACCAGTGTTTCATTTTTCTTGGGACAAAGGCTGAAATATTTTCTCCCAGTAGAATGTTTCCTTGGGTCAGTTATGAGGTTATGTGGCTTTCCAGAAGTCTTTGAGATGGCCAAGAGATTTCCATTTCAGAAAGGATTAAGCACATATGGCCAGACAATGTATCTTCTTCCCTTCCCCTTGATTGCCTAAAGCAGAGGTCTCCAACCTTTCTGGGCTTGCGGATCAGAGGGAAGGAGAATAGCTTCAAAACTGGTGAGCATGTGCATGCACATGCATGGGGCCACACACATTGGTGTGGCACTAGCTGTTCGTTCATACGGCATGTGGTGGCACTGTGTGCATGCGCAAATGGCTACGTACCCCCCATGGCGGCTAGCAGCCCAATTCACACATACGCAAATGGGTCACACAACCCACCTGGGCTAGTGCCCCCATTCACACATGCACAAATGGGCTGTGGACACCCGCCCCGCGCTAGCATCCCTGTTCATGCCCACACACATGTGCAAACGGGGCCACAGAAGCTAGCACTAGTGGAGGGGAGTGCATGCCCATGTGAGTGCACACCAGCCAGCCATTTCCACAGCCCACTGGCCAGAAGCCTGCGGCCCGGTCACAGGCCATGGTCCATAGGTTGGGGACTCCTGGCCTAAAGACATACTTGGGCTTCACATTCTTAAATTGGGCCTATCACAACTTGCTCAATTACTCCATGTCCCAGGCTCAAGAGCCAATATGTACATTGGAAAACCCTGCCAGATTGGATCAAAAGTCCAACTTCTTCCAATCTCCTGTTATGTATGTTGCTTCTTCTGGCATTACAGATTTTTTTTTTTGCTGGGCAAAAGGTTGGCTTGTATCATTTCTGGACCCAAAAGTGTCATCTGACTTACTTAGATTAAGAACCAACCCAGTTCCTTATGGTCTGCTTCAGGACTGGGACTTCTTCTAAATATCAGCCTCAACTCCATAGAAATTATTGGAGTTGTATACTAAGAACTAAAAGTTACTGATTACCATCCCTGATTCACACTCATTCATAATGTTTTTCCAAATAGCTTCCATAAGGTTTTGATTAATTTTAAATTATACATTTCTTCTGTGGAGGTAGGAGCAGAAAATAGCAGCAGCAACAACCTTGTGGCATTCTTCTGTGATGCTCTACTATCGTTTTGAAAACTTTCATGGTCATTTGCTAATGCTGCCCCCCCCCCCAAAACAGATTATTTGTTTGAGAGAAAAAAGTGGCCTCTTGTTACCTGATCTCCATCTAGTGTCCAAGAAGGCCAATTTGCCAGAGCTGGAACCGAGTAGTCTAGTAATGCTTAATGGGTATGAAATGGTCAAAGCTTTTACAGAAAATGGGGAATGAATATCAGTAAAAGAGAAACGAGGTTGCTTCTCAAATAGCTTTTAAATGGACAGTGGTAAAAATTGATTAGGAAATCTGTCAGTATCGTGACTTTGAGGGCATGGTAGATTCTGGCTAGCTCCTCAGCTGCTGTACATCTTAGGTGGAAAAAACATATTTATTGCATTGACATTAACATACTGAAAGCTCTTTTGTATCACAGTTCCAGGCAGAGCTGTCAGCAATTGCAGACGTCAAACACCTATATAGAAATGCTAGAAATTTCAGAGGCAAATGTTCCTTTGTGTTACATCAGTGGTTCTCAACCTTTCTAATGCTGCGACCCCATAATACAATTCCCCATGTTGTGGTGACCCCCAACCACTTATACATCACCGGGTGCCAGGGGCGTGGCCAAAGAAAAGGGGGAAAAATGGTGGACAGCCTTGTTTGGCGACCCCCGTGAAATGGTCGTTCGACCCCAAATGGGGTCCCGACCCACAGGTTGAGAACCACTGTGTTACATAATGTATTGGTAGATATGCAATATTTTAATTTAACTATATGTTCTAATTGTATTTTCAGGGCATCATGTCACCTTGAAGGAAGCCAACACCAACCATCAATGCAAATATTAACCATTATTCGATTCAGGTTTGTCTGAAATTGAGAAAAACATTGTACATGCCACTTTTGGAAAATGGTTGGTATGTACAGCATTCTTCTTAAGATATCTCTGGGTTATACACACACATTTATCTTGCTAGAGCAATTGTGCAGTTTGTTTATATAACTTTGCTTTTCATAGCTTAGTACGGAGAAGCTGCTATTTATTTTTTCAATTTTCCTAGATATTTTGGGATGACTGAAAGAAACATTGAGAGCCATTTTAATGTCACGTTGTGAGTTCTAGTCCTGCCTTAGGAATGAGGCCACGTGGATATCCTTCAGCTGGTCCTTCTCACTTCCCTCAGCCATAAGAAGGCCAGGACAATCCAGTTTGGGAAATCTTGCCAAGAAAACTACAGGGGTGTATCCAGGCAATCACCAGGAGTCAGGACTGAGTTGAGAGCACATAATTATTAATTAAAGGAAATGTTAATAATTTAAATCTTTTAAAGACTGGAAATATAAAAATCTTCTTAAACTGGAATACTGCAGAAACAACAATAGCAAACTGTTGGTCAAAAAGATGAAACATGCATTTTGATATCACAATGCAAGTGTAAAAGGTGCAGAGATTACGTTGCCTCATGTTATATCATTCTCATAGATACCCAAGGAAAAATGTATTTTTGTCCTTGGCATTTTATTGCTAAATTTTGGCAGTATGTCAGAGAATCCATATATGGATTTATGGATTATCAGAGGCAATATGGAGGTACTATCCTAGTTCAGAGAAAGGAATAATGGTGCAGACATTAGAGAGTTAACAAATTCAGAAAAACAGGGTAGTTTAGCCAAAGATTTGATTCAAGGAGTAGATTCTCTCTGAAAATGTCAGGAAGAATCTCTGCCATCCTCGACAAAGGGAAGAATTGGAACAGTAATTGTGAAGACCTGGCATTAAGCTATTGCTTTACTTTGTGTCCTGAAAGCATGGAGTAAATGACTACATTGGTTGCTTAACATCCAGTCAAAAAAGATTATTAAATCTCGTGAAATTTCAGTGCTCCATTTGCAAGATTTCAACAATCATAGGCACGTGCCAATTGGCAGTCTCAAGGGATGTCAACTGCTTTTTAAAAATGTCTTGTTTTCACTTAATTTCTGTGCATCTGCATTATGTGTAAAATTATAGGAGGGTGCCTGAAACCTGAAGTGTATAATCTCTGGAAAAAAAGTTTTTGTGGATCCCAGTCCATTTCATTAGATACACTTGGTACAGTGCTGAGAAAAGGTTAGCGTTTATAGAGAAAGTAGGTGGGACTCAGTGAGAGTGGAAAATTAGAAATGGAGAATGTTGAGTGGTGACAGGAAAGGTGAGAAGCAAAATCATCTGTCTAAACTGTGACCATTAGCAAAGCAGTAATTAACCACGGTGTAATTACTGATAAATTAGTTAACATGTGTAGTCTGACTGGAATGTAGAAAGAAAACCTTAACTCCCCTGATGAATTCTAATTCAGTTGTTTTACTCTTTGTAATTTCTTTTTTTCAAAGGTGGCTATTCTGAAGTTTATGAACATATACCCCAAGGAAACATCATGGTCTTCTGTTGGTTTTTCAATATTGGTGTTTATGCTATCAGGTCTTTTATATACAGGGCATAGCAAAAGTCAGACCCCACAGATAATTTATTATTGCAAATTAACATTAAATGTTCAAATTGGTTGCCATTTTCCTCTAAATACTTCTTTACTTGTTTGGTGTGTGGTCTTTGAACCTTCCTTAGTAACATTTTCTCTGAAAAAAAATATATTGTGCTAAAGCCTACGGGGCCCAACTTTCGTTGCATCCTTTTATATTATTTCTCTTAATTGGGCTCATTTTTTTCCTTCTTTTTTTACTTATTGATTTGTGTGTCTGTGTGCGTGTAAACATTATGAACATTGTAATAGAATTTTTATAACATTCTTATTGAATGGAATGGAGTCACGAATTAAACAAAATAATGAAAAATAAAACCTGCTAACCCTTAAGGAACATGCTCGATTTTATGGATACTTTTAATCCCAGCCTGACACATCTGTGGGGTTTGGTTTTTATTTGGTGCCTTCAAATCAGTCTTGATTCCTGCAACTGTACAGAAATCTTTTGCTGACAAGATTTCAGAAGTGGTTTGTAATTGACTTCTTCATACCGATGAGGGACAGTGATTGGCCCAAAGTCACCCAGCTGGCTTTCCTCCCTAAGGTAAACCTAAAATCTGGGTTTCTCTACTCCTACTTTAGCACTTTAATCACTATATAAACCTGGCTAATGAAAAAGCATCTGTGGGGTTAGGAGCAGAAATTGTTTCCTTCCAATATCCACAAAGGTGGACAAGCACAAGAAAGTGTAGATGTTTCTTTTTGTTAGCCATCGTTCTACCATTTTACATCTGTTTCCAGTTCTTTCCCTATAATATTTTTTTAATCTCAACAAACATTTAGAAAGTCATAGCGTGGACTTACCAGGAGATGAATCATTCATAATTACTAAGGATGCTGGGGTGGGCCTTCTTTTCCTGATCTGCAGAAATCATAGGTACAGGCAGATGGATCAAATATAAATGCAAGCAGCTATATCTCTAAGTTCACAGTTAATGAGAAGTTACTAAGCTAATACAAACACTGCCTAAGTATTCAAATCATTGCCTCTTTTAATCACCATAAAAATCAGAATAAGCTGATTCCACTTTCTATTTCAAGAACAAAACTCAGCAGGTTATCTTGAATTTGTACTATTAGTATTACTAGTACCATCAAAGCTGACACCAATCAGAGCATAGAAAAACTCAAAGAAGTAGTGCAAGATCAGAAGATGTGGCCCATAGAATTGCCAAGAGCCAGACATGACTGAATGGATATCATCATCATCATCATCATCCTCATATCACTTTTTTACTTTTTTTTTAGTTTGCCATATTGTGCTGGATTTCAAATTCAGTAAGACACCCCCCCAAAGGACAAGAATAATTAAGTCTGCTGATCTAGTTCCAAGTGCTGTGGAAGGAGTGTGAAACCCTGGATCTTTGTGTAGTTTTCATCCCAAATGGCGCTTCAGCTATATATCCCAGAGCTTTCCCACCCCAATTTTGCAATGAGCTTTTAAATTCCAGTTGGGCTCTCTTGTCTAAGGTGACAACATGGCCTGTCTCAGAACTACACAACCTTTATTGATTCTCACTATAATACTACCTGCCCCACCGATGCCAACTCTGACTGAAAATAACTGGGGAGATTTTGATCTGGAGATCTGGTTTTGCAAAAAGCTAGATTTCATTGTGTCAATACTGATTGGCTTCCTAGCTCTTACGTTATCAGTCAGATGTGGGCCCAGATCATTTTTCTGATATCGGAAGCCACAAATTACTTTTAGTAATGGAAAATCATTTCAAAAGCCATTCTGTATAAGCTACAGACATCAATGGTTGAAAGCAGGAAAAAGAAATCACAGTTGCATTAATCTATTGTAAATCACTGGCTGGTCTGAAAGCCATTCTCATGTCCTCTTAATAGTCAAGAAGCATAATCTTATATTTGCACAAAATCCAATACTTTGATCCTTAGCATGTATGCTGTTGGCCAAGAATCTCCATTAGATGGGAACTATTCCGATAATGACATGGATGTCTTATGCCACACAATGTTAATCAGGAGAAAATACAGCCTTTCTCAACTTAGTACCCCCAGATCTAGCATGACTTCAGTCCCCAACATTCCTTAAAAAAACTCTCACCGGCTGACTATTTGGAGTTATAATCCTTTGTAGTTCGATGGGGTACTAGGTCAAAGAAATATCACATGGCCTTAATTCTAGAAATTTCTATGTCTACATACAGAAAGATGACTGAAGAAATTGATATCTTGAAAGCATTTATCACTCAGAAAGTATATTTATCTATTGGAGAGGGATGAGATGTGAAGGTCATCTTGGGTAAGAGAAAAGCATCTAAGATGTTTTCTGCATAAGAATATCTCATTCTGTTCTGGCTTCATCTGTTCTCTAGAGCTGTCATCAACAATCCTTTCTGTTAGTGAAGAGAACCTTCATAGCGGTCACTTCAGTTAAAACATTAACAATGGAACCCCACATATAACTTCTCAGATATAAATTTGATTCAGTTTAGTGGGACTCAGCAGACTCAAACTGCTGAGATTTGAGGTTTGGCTCAAAATCTGAGAATCAACTCCAGGAAACATCCTGATCTGCTGGTATATAACCATGCACTGTCAGTGAGGGGGAACGTACCATTTCAAACAGCCAAAGAGAAGGTGGTTTCAACCTCTATCAAAGTTTGTTCTATGATGCTGATAGTATTGTATTGTTTTGAAAATATAACAACATAAATTTAGGCTATTAATGTGACTGCTCAGAAATTGCCTTGGAAACATTGAATATTTAGAAATAATACCCTTTTCTTTACATGTTTTCTCCATTTGAAGATGCAGGCAATCTTTTCATCCATCTATCTATCTATCTATCTATCTATCTATCTATCTATCTATCTATCTATCTATCCTTCTATCCTTCTATCTATCTAATCATTTTTCTATCTATCATCCATCTATCTATCATTTATAGCCTTTCAACTGAACTATTTTCTTACCTATCCATCAATCTGCTAGCGTTCAATACTTTCAATAATTTTTATATACAAAAGTCCCAAGCTCACTGTTTGGATGCTTCTCTTTTTACAGAAAAGGGTTTGCTCGGAAAAAAAACACACCCCTAGAGTATTCAAAAGGCAAACCTCCTCCCTTCTCTTCTTTCTCTCTCTTTCCTTCACTCTTTCAATGACAGAGAATTCTTATGGAATCCAAGAACTTCTGCAAAGTTGCACTCCAGCTTCCAGATTTGGAAACATGGTACCCTTAACAATCGTTATCCTCTTTCATAGGCAGTGAAGATAAAACTAGCTTACCTGTTCAGCTGCTTCAGAATTTATTTGACTTTGAAATAATGGTACAGCAAATTGTATCTTTTTAGGACTGTTTGGTTCCATGACAGTATTTAGGAATAGCAGTAGGGGGAGGGTGGGGAGATCTGGCCTGCTGAAAGGAGAGACAAGAAAGTTCCTTCTCTTCTTATCTCCTGGCAAACTCCTTGAAGCCCAACGCTCCTTAACAATCACAATAATTTCTGAGGTAGAGCGAGCAGAAATTGCTTGAGCTGCAAAACCCCCTTCTTCCTTCTACATCCACAGCAATGTCCCTTCTCAGAGATGCTGTTCTTCTTCCTCCAGTTCTCCAGATGATCCACTCAGCATCAAGCTGAAAGGAACAAGAAGCTAATTGTGTGCAGATTCCCTTCTGCAAATGCCAAGCATTCACTCAGAAGCTAATTGAAAATACAATACTAGCTAGAGTTGGTCTGCTGCCCTGGGATTTGAAATGGAGAATCTGTGTACGGCACATTATTTGCTGACAGTACCAAAGTGCAGGGTAAGAGCCCGCCCTTCGGAGTATTGCTGATGGGCCCTGAATTATTGATAGATCTGTGATTAGGAAGCTTGCAAAACTGATATGTGAAGATGGCATTTGAAGCAGGTGAGGACAACATCAGAAGGTTCTCTACTGATGCCGTCTCTCTAATTGACAGAGAAGCTACGTTTCTGACTGTGATGGGAGTGGGGAAATCACGCCAGTCATCTTATGGCATCCTCTGTGCAACCACAAATTGGTGATGGCATGTCGAAAACCTTCTACAATTTAATGCCTTCCAGAAAGATTTCATATGGTACAACATACCAGGAAGGTATGGTTGGAGAAGTCTGGTTTAAAGATTCTTGTCTATATGATTCATTGAGGAATATTTGAATAGTACCCTTAGGGCTAGTCTGTACATTCTTAAATTGTCCATACACCATGAACTAGCAAATTAGCAAATTTTCTTAGATGATAATTCCATCTCTAGATCCCACTAAATCAACTGTTACATGCAGGATGGTCTTTTCAGTTCAGGACATATACTTCATGATTTATCATTATAAGAAGCTGGCCCTGATTTTGCACTAAAATTGGAAGATGGTATTTTTCAGGAACCCTGGGTGCAAAATGGATCACTAGCAAAATGTTATGACAATTCTTATTAAGACTTTTCACATCTCAGGCTTTAGCTTTGTTAGCGCTCGGCAGGTGTTTAGCTTGGACATTTGACTGTGAAGTCTAGGTTGAGGGTGAGAAAGAGCATGTTAAACCAGTCCCAAGCAATCTCTCATATTTAATCTGCAAGCCTGTAGTGATCAAAATGGATAAGCCACTGGCATTTGACTGATTTATTCACCCAGTTCTAATTGGCCTAAAGACAGCGGTGATTCCAATTGGCTTCATCCAGGCACAGAATGGCTGCCAAGAGCCTACAGAGGAATTGTATCCTCTCCGTAACTGTGAGTCAGAAAAGATGAGATGAATGGATACGTAAATTTGATGAATAAAAAAATAAATAATTTATAAGGAAGATGGGACTAGGTCTCAGAACATCAGCTACCCACACTCATGAGTTTGTTGAGAAGGATTTATTTGCTGTGGATTTTTTGATTAATCAAGGAAGTTAGGCTCCTTTCTATTTTGGTACCTTGTCTCTTGCCTTGTGTGTTCCTGTTATTTTGCAAATGGTATCCTGCTTGGGACTCATCACATTTCAGACCTCAAAATTGCTGTCAGCGTTTAGGCTGAATACTGACATAAAAATGGCCACAATAATGGATGCTTAAAGTGCATCTGTCTCCTTGCCAAAGAAGACCATGCCCTATCAGCTCTGGATTAAAAAGCAGAATCTCAAGGTAGAATATCTGATTTCATGGAAGCCAGGCATCATTTATGTACAGTACTGTGCCTAATTTTGAGAAAATTAAGGTATTCTTCTTTTTTTTTTATTGAAAAGTTTTTAAAAGTTTTACAAATAAACAACCAACCCTCACCCATCCCTCCCAAACCCCCCCTCCCCCCTCCCCGAGCTTCCCAGAGCTGAATACAGGCTTATCTATAATTTAAAAAACCTAAACAAATTTTTACAACTTATAAAATAATTAATAATAAAATATATATGACATAAGCATTAAAAAGAAAAATACTTAAAAAAAGAAAGAAAAAGAGAGGAAAGCGAATGAGAAAGAAAAAGAAAAAGGAATAAAAAAGATAAAAAAAGAAGGAAGAAAGCAAAGGACGGAAAAAGAAAAGAAAAAAACAATCTATAAAATATCAAAAAAAAATTTTATACAATTTATAAAAAAGCTAAATGATATTTTTCCATATCCAAATTATATTGTATAAAATTTATCCATTTTTCCCATACAACAAAAAATTTCTCTTGAGATTGCTCCTTTAAGAAAGCCGAAATCTTTGCCATTTCCGCCAAATAAGAAACTTTATAAAACCACTCTTGTAAGGTAGGCAAAGATTCCTTCTTCCAATATTGTCCTACTAACAGCCTTGCGGCTGTGATCAAATTTAACATCAATATAACTTCCTTAGCATCACAATCCGTAACAATACCTAATAAAAATAATTGTGGAGTAAATTTTACCCTCCTTCTAAAGATTCTTTGAATATTCCACCATATCTTAATCCAAAAAGCTTTTATATTTTTACACGACCACCAAATATGATAATAGGTAGCATCCAAACAACCACATCTCCAACATTTAGCCTGTAGATCAGGGTACATAATAGACAATTTTTGTGGGTCAAGGTGCCATCTATAAAACATTTTCTAAAAATTCTCTCTTAAATTCTGCGCTTGTGTGAATTTAACATTCCTCACCCATATAAGTTCCCAAGTATCCAATGGGATTGGTTCACCAATATTTTGTGCCCATTTAATCATACAATCTTTGATTAATTCAGATTCTGAATCCATTTCCACTAAAACCCCATAAACCCTCTTAATATGGGTTGGTCGTTGATCCCTTACTTGTTTAAAAAGATTTTCATCTTCTCTAAGCCAACCCATATTACGATCCATCTTCCACCTCTCCACTATTTGTCTATATTGAAACCATGAATAAGTAATATTTTCATGTATTAGATCTTCCAAAGATTTTAGCTGCCAATTTTGTCCATCCCATCTAAGTAGTTGTATATAAGAAACCATATCCATCTTAACTCCTCTCTTTATCCCCTCTATCGCATGCCAAGGTATAGCCCATAATGGTATTTTAAAATCACTTTTATAATATTTCCTCCATACCCTAAGCAAAGAAGTCCTTATAATATGGGATTTAAAAACCCGATCCACTTTTTTATTAAAAATTAAATAGGCATGCCATCCAAAAAGTAAATCCCAACCCTCCAAGTGGAGTATTTCTACATTTGTTAAGTTCACCCAATCACTAATCAGTGTTAAAACCACAGCATCATAATATAATTTCAAATTTGGTACCTTGAGTCCACCTCTCTCACGGAAATCTTGCATAATTTTAAGTTTTACCCTTGGTTTTTTCCCTGCCCAAATAAATTTGTTGATACCTTTCTGCCATTCGTTTAAATTAAGTTCATTCTTTAAAATAGGTAACATTTGAAACAAAAAAAGAAATTTAGGTAGAACATTCATTTTAATAACTGCAATTCTACCCATGAGAGATAACTGTAAATTATCCCAGTTCTTTAAATCCTTCTGTACCCCAATCCACAACTTTTCATAGTTATTTTTATACAATTTTACATTAGAAACAGATAATATAACCCCCAAATATTTTACCTTATCAACAACTTCAAAATCTGTTAATTTAACCAAGGTCTGTTTGTCACAATTAGTCATATTTTTAGGTAATATTTTAGTCTTATTATTATTAATTTTAAAACCCAAAACACACCCATATTGATGAATCAATTGTAATAATTTTACTACCGAGTAAGTAGGTTGAGACAAAGTAACAACCAAGTCATCTGCAAAAGCTCTTAACTTATATTCTTTTTTGTTAATTTCTATTCCTTTTATTTCTTGCGATTCCCGAATTTTAATCAACAAAATTTCCAATATTAAAACAAACAATAACGGAGATAATGGACAACTCTGTCTTGTACCTTTTTCTGTTGTGAAAACCTCTGACAAACCCCCATTAACAATAAGTTGAGCAGTCTGTTTTTGATATATATTAGATAAAGCTTGTAATATATTTTGACCAAAATTCATCTCCTTAATTAAACTTAACATAAACTGCCAATTCAATTGGTCAAAGGCTTTTTCAGCATCCAAAAATATCAGCCCTGCAGAGACTTGGTTGTTTTTATCTAAATATTCTAATAAGTTGATAATTTGTCTAACATTATTTTTCATATACCTTCCAGTTATAAAACCCGATTGGTCCTTATGTATAAGCTGTTGCAAGACCCCCATAAGCCTATTAGCTAAAATTTTTGCAAAAATTTTGTAATCCACATTTAAAAGAGATATAGGCCTGTAATTCTTAGGCAAAGTAAGATCTTGATCCTCTTTTGGAATCAGAGATATAAAAGCATTGCGCCATGACGGAGGAATCTCTAAACCTTGTACTATATTATTAAAAAGCTCACATAGAGGTTGGGTCATCTCTTCTACTAAAGTTTTGTAATAAATAGATGTCAGACCATCCGTACCCGGCGCTTTACCTAATTTTAACTGCTTGATAGCTGTCACAATTTCCTCTTTAGTAATTAAACCATTAATCTCTTTTTTCTGATCTTTTGTTAATTTAGGAAGATTAACTTTACTTAAATAATTATTTATATCTGTAGTTTGTACATTAGTACTCTTATATAATTTCTGATAATATTCTAAAAAAAGATTTCTTAATCAACTCTTTCTGATAAACCAGTTTACCATTATAGTTTATTTTATCTATAAGTCTATGTCTCTGTTTCTTTCTTAACTGATAAGCCAACCATCTCCCTGGCTTATTAGCATTACAAAATGTGTTTTATTTCATAAACATTAAATTAGTTGCAGCTTGATCAGCCATCAACATATTGAATTGTGTTTTTAACAATTTTATAGCTCCTTTCACCTTTTCATCTAAAGGATTTGAGATTAAAAGCTTCTCTTTTAATTTAATCTCATCTTCCAATTCTTTACGTTTCTGAATCTGCTTTTGTCTATAAAAATTATTCATTTTTATCAAGATCCCACGCATAAAGGCTTTACTTGCATCCCATACCATTGACATTGATGTTCCCTTATACATATTTAAAACAAAATAGTCCCTTAAGCATTCCTTTAATTTCTGAACATTTTTTTCTTGTTTAAATAAATTCTCATTCAACCTCCAGGATCTCCTCTCCTGTTTCTCAGCAATCAGTTCCATCCAAACTGGACTATGATCTGTCAATGACCTAGGAAAAGTTTTTACATTTTTCACCCTGTTGTATAAATCTGTTGTGATCAAAAAAAAAATCAATCCTTGAGAAAGATTGGTGTCTATCTGAGAAAAAGGTGAAGTCTCTTTCCTCTTGATTACGTTCACGCCAATAGTCTCTCAATTCCCAATCTTCTTTCAAATCAAAAAAATCTTTAGGTAATTTAGCCTGTTTGAAAAAGGTAGAAAAACCTTTTTTATCCTTTTGTGTATCTAAAACACCATTCCAGTCTCCCATTAGTATCACAGACCTATAATCCAACAAAGTTATTTTCTG